TAACCCCATTAAGGGAACCTAAGGAAGGTACGACTGTTCTTCTCACTTTGCAGATAAGGAAACTGAGGCCCAGAGAGGTTAAGTGACTTGTCCAGGATTCATTTAGTAAGGGTCAAGCCAGAGCTTTCTGCCTTCCATCCAATTTCTGGTCTAACATTCACACTGCTTGCTCACATTCTGTGGGTCAAGGTTTTGTTGTCTGGCCTGGCCAGCTAGGGACAAAGTGAGCCCCAGGCTGGACCCCATAGCTGACTGTCTTTCTATTTGTACACCCAGGAGAGCTGTGGCGTGACTCTGTGTGATGGGAAGGTCCACATCACTGGTGGGCGGGATGATCACGGGGAAAGCACCGACAGGGTCTTCACCTTTGACCCCAACAGTGGGCAGGTGGAGGCCCAGCCGTCCCTGCAGCGCTGCACCAGCTCCCACGGCTGTGTCACCATTGTCCAGAGCCTGGGCAGGTGACTCAGATTTGGACAGCCTGAGCCAGGAGCAGAGAGAGAAGGGAGAACTCAGGCTCACCACTCTGCTTTCCTCATGGAACCGCCATGTAAATAGCCCCTTAACTTATTGCCCCCTTTCTTGTAGAAATAAAACGTCATTCAAAGGTTGGGTCTGTGTTCCAGCTCATGCCTGCTTTGCCTGGAGAAGTATCTGCTCCTTGTTTTGACTCTTTACAAAGCACCTACATGTTACTTCATTTACTTTCATAATAGCAGCGTGAACATAATTTAAAATATTATGAAATATTCCATGCATAAAAGAATATATATTTTTGTGCAGTTTAATAATAATAATAAAACATCTTCCTTCCTACCAGCTAGCTTAGGAAATAATCTGTCACAGCCCTGGGTCCTGTGGCTCAGTTGGTTAGAACGTCGTCCCATACACCAAAAGGTGGCAGGTTCGATTAAAAAATTTTTTTTAGTCTACATAAAAACAAAAAAAAGAAGTAGAATGTTAGAAATGCCTTTGTAGGCTCTGGTGTCTATTCCCAAACCCATTCCTTTCCCATAGTCCTTTGAGGTAATCACTATCCTTCAACTTGAGATTATCAACACTTTTAACTTTTAGTGAGCTAATTATTAATATCTGTATTTCATGAAGCTGCAGAATCAATGAGACATTTCTGGTCAGGAGAACAACCCTCTCAAATTCAAACACCTAGCAGAGATAGACAAAATTAGAGCCCAGACAACGAAAAAGACAAAGACATAGGTGTAAAAGTAAGCAAACATGTCCAAGGATCAGAAACAACAGAATTGTAAAACCCCAAGGAAGGCAGAAGTTTGAGCTCTGGGGCTCAGGCTCTGAGGGATAAAGGCCTTAAAAACAGGATTCCGGTCCAGGCTCACTGCTAGAAGCCAGGGCCGAGGTGGTCCACTCGTGAAAGAAACTGAAACAGAAACCCAAATGGCCTTGGGGTCCGAAGCTTGCAGCTGGGTGATGGGTGCCAGAGCCACGGGCCTTCGAGAACCCAGCGAGGCTGCATCTGGACCTCCAACACCCCCAGCATCAACAGGGGGCACAAACCCCTGATGTGACTAAGCACCTGGGTTAGCCTGGGCTCTAGAGAAAGCAGCACAGAACTGCTGGATAGGAAGGGGTGATGAGAGAGGGAATGAAAGATGCCACAAAGGGAATCTGTGAGGCAGAGGCCTAGTGGTGCAGGTTCTGTGCCTGTTTCTAAGGCCCAAAGGACGGAGGACCTAGCCAGACCCCATCTGGGACTCCCCTCATTTGCACCCAGACTGCCTTTTAAAAATCTATCATAGGCTCCTGCAACTCCTCCAGCACAGGGCCAGCCCCACGCCCCTCCCATCTTCCAAAGCCCCAGGGCCCTGTCTGGGAGATCTTTCCAGCTGGGGCTGGCCCTTTACAGCCCAGCACAAAGGCCCAGGTCACAGCTGAGCTCCTACCTCCTGATTATCCCTGATTAGGGAGCCTGTGACCATCTGGACATGGCTGATAATGGCAGAGATGAAGGGGGTGTAGGGGGAGGCCCAGTTCCTCAGAGCCCGCCTGCCCCGACCCCAGGAATAACATCCAGGACAAAGAAAGCACTATTATTTGCCTGTCGGATAGGCCCTATCCCATCAGATGCCCAAGTGGAAATGAGAGGGGCAAATCCAGGGCAAGCTCTCCCTCACCTGGGCTGGGCACCTCCTGTGTGCCAAGCAGACTGAACCACTTCCCCCACGATGACCATTCGTGTTCCCTGTGCCCTTTCATGCAAGTGCTGATGCCCCTTCCTGCTGTCTGCTTGGGCAGACCTGATACCCTCCACCCCCCGAGTTTACCACTCTCTCCTCGTGTTCCTTATCTGCCCTGGTTCTGTCACCTGACATATGGCCAGACCTTTGTCTCCCGACACCCAAGGGATGCCCTTTGAGGCAGAGAAGGTGTCAGCTTCATCTGTGTCCCCCAGTGCCCAGATCAAGGCCTCCCATTGAATATATTAAATCAAAGTTTTTGCTGTTTTCTACCTCACAATGCCTATGAGTTGGTACTATTGCCTACCCCACATTTACAGACTCAGTTGTAAGTGACTTGCTTACTAAAGTCACTGAGCTGATAAGTGGTGGCAGAGCCAAGATTCCAACCTGCATCCAGCTGTCTCCAAAGCCTGCTCTCTCCATGCAGCCACATCCAGGCTCTGCTAATCTGAGAATGTGGGTGTTGCACATATGAATGAAGCACAGCTGTTTAGAAGTAGGAGATACATCATTTCCACCGAGGAAAATCCCATCCTGATAGAATTTTGTTCCTGTCCTTAGGGGCCTCCTTGAATGAAGGGAGGCATTATTCATGTCCCTAGTGAGTGAGGCTCACAGGAACACAAGCAAAAGTTGACACCCCATATGCCCTCATTTCCTAGGACTACTAGCTATACCTAATACTTTGGTCTCTCAGTCTAACTAGTCCTTTTGTGGAATGTCTCCCTGGCTCCTAACCCACTGCTTTCCCACTCCCACTACTCCCTGCAGCCAGACAAGATCAGAGCATGAACCCTGAGCATGGCCCCTTGGCCGTGCAGTACGCCAGACAAAGACTTAACTCTGGTATACCATCAGAAGCCACTGGAGCCAAATTCAGTTTTTAGTTTTCTTCCCGAGCAGTTCTAAGTAAGGATTAGAATTTTATGACTGTTCTTTTTTAGTGGGCTCCCAAAGAACAATGGGGAAATTTATTTTAAAAAACTAGGATATGCATATAAGCATAACCAATGGGCACAAGACACTGGGGAGTAAGGGAGGCCGGGGGAAGGTCAAGGGGGAAAATAAAAAGGAGACATATGTGCTACTCTTTGTAATATTATAAGCAATAAAACAAAATTTAATAAAATAAAACACTAGGATAAAATTCATTCTCTTACAATCACCATATGGAATAGTTGGATTCTTGCATAAATCTAAAATACATTGAGATCTTGATGAACTTAATTTTTCTGTATCTTGAAAAACTTTATTTCATAATAGAAATGATCATATTACTCGTCAATTATTCCCAACTATGTCAAACAAGACTAAGATGGTAAAAAAATGGAAGAATGATGGTATTGCCTAAAAGATGCAATGAAATAAATTATTACATCATCTTTCAGTTTCCATATTACATTGCCCAAAGTATTGGTTGTCATCTTTTAAAAAGATATCAAAGAAGTCTAGAGACATCAATTAAGAATTCAGGCCCTAGCTGGTTTGGCTCAGTGGACAGAGTGTTGGCCTGCAGACTGAAGGGTCCAGGTTCGATTCCAGTCAAGGAATACCGGGGTTGTGGGCTCCATCCCCAGTAGGGGGCATGTAGGAGGCAGACAATAATTCTCATCATTAATGTTCCTATCCTTTTCCCTTCCTCTCTGAAATAAAAAATATATTTAAAAAAATAATAAACTCAGGACTTTTCATTTCCCACCCATAATGACAAGAAAAGAAAGTTGACTGAGGACATTTCACACTTATTACACAAATTAGAAAAAGAATGCAGAGGCACATTGCTGGACTCTAGTCTCTAAAGATAGGAAATTGGTCACATAAGCAAAATCTTTCCTAGATGAATTTTCTCAAGAACTGTTGAATGAACAATATATTTCTAAAAACAGAAAGGAACTATGGTATTTTAAGTCATAAGGCATTATTTAGTGAAGTCGTTCAACAGGATTTCATCATGCAGAATTTTTATGACAAAAAAACCTGGACCATCCTGTTTTGCTAAAGGGTGGTGTAGCAATATTCTTTCATCTTTTATGATGCTTATGCACCCAAATTTACTTCATACTGTTTGTTACAGTTCATAAGTGGGAATACACTGAAGACAGTTGTGTAGGTGAAGGGAAACAGATGCTATAAAAAATTTTAAAAAATAAAATTCATTGGTGTCCAGCTGGTGTGGCTCAGTGGTTGAGCATTGACCTATGAGCCAGCAGGTCAAGGTTCAATTCCTGGTTAGGGCACATACCTGGGTTATGGGCTCCATCCCTAGTGTGGGGCATGCTGGAGGCAGCCAATCAATGATTCTCTCATCATTGATGTATCTCTCCCTCTCTCTCACCGTCTCTGATATCAATAAATAACATTAAAAAATAAAAATTCATTGACTTGGTTATTCTAATTGATCTTTATAAATCTAAAAATAAAAATGTTTTGCCCTGGTTGGTTTGGCTCAGTGGATAGAATTGTCAGCCTGCACACTGAAAGGTCCTGGGTTCGATTCTAGTCAAGGGCACATGCCTGGGTTGCGGGCTCGATCCCCAGTGGGTGAGCGTGCAGGAGGCAGCTGATCAATGATTCTCTCTCATCATTGACATTTCTCTCTCTCTCTCCCTTCTTCTCTGAAATCAATAAAAATATATATACTTATAAATAAAGTGTTTTAAAAGCAAGGAACATGGCTGGCTGTCCTTAAATTATGAGCCATCAAAAATATTGCATGTTGACAAGGCAAGTGCAAAAAACCAGAAGAAAACAAAAGCAGTAAGCTAGAGCCCATTAGAGATGTACCTGAAATCTGGAAGCAGTTATGAGTATGTTCTAGTCACACATGGGAGCTGATGAGCAGTTCATTGCATTCAAGGAATGTTGCTCATTTTGGGTAAATGTACCTTCAAAACAAGGAAAATTTGGAATTGTTTGCTGTTTTAATTCATATATATTTGTGCATATACACGACTTTATTGATATAATTCATCCATTTAAAAAGTATAATTCAATGGTTTTCAGTATGTTCAGAGTAGTACTAATACTTGTGACGGTTATGGGGCAGTTGATGGCCCACCAGTGAGGGCAGGATGAATAGGTCACAGCAGTCCTCCCCTCAGGGGGGAAAGGCCCAGCTGCACCTGGCTAGGTGAAATGGTACAATACAGGACTGAGCAGCAGAGGCTCAATGGTTTCCTTTCAACTTCAGAGCTCCTGGGGGGCTCCATCTTATTTATGAATGTGAGGGTATGGGATCAGATAAGTTCTTCTTCCCAACCTATGGTCTTATTCTCAAATCAGAAGTGGGGATCTTGAGATACCCTAAATATTTTTCCAAGCCTAAGAGAAATCACACATTCCCCTAAGATGTATTGCACAAATTAAAATCGCTGTAAAGTGAGGTAATGGAATCCGCCCATTACAGGGATGTTGGGAAGTTTAAATGACATATTCACAGCAGGCTCAGGGCACATAATTATCTTCTCACCATGGTCATGCTGCTTATCAAACTATAAATGTAACTTTAGCAACAAATACGGAAGTGGTTTGTTTTAGATTAAATAACATCAAAAATCTGATGACCCTAAGGTAATAGTGAGAAAAACAATCTTTGAATCCAGACTCTGGCTTGAAGGCCTGGGCTCTTACCTGTTAATAATATCTGCAAACAAAATTATTATTAGATGATAAATACTAGAAGAGACATACTGGCATTTAGATCTCCTTTAACGGCCACAACAGCCCTGTGATAACAAAAACCAAAAAGGTCCAAAGTGTCAGTGAATCTGTTGGTGTCAGAATTTGAACCCAGATTTCTAATTGTAAAGCCCGGCCTCTCAAATGTACCTTGTAAAATGCTCTGCAGAGAAGGGCATCCTTCAATCTACTACATCCTGGCTGACTTCTGCATGCCTTTGCCTAACTTCCCAGCCAGAAGTTGAGGTGGTGAGCTGGGGACTGTGGCTGGTTTCTTGGACCCCTTTGGGAGATCATAGATGGGAGGAGCAGGAACCCCATATTATCACTCTGCTGTGGGTTCCAGCAGCCTTCACAAGTGTTTTGCAAGCCCAGATTCTGTCTGGAGGTAAAAACCCACCCCACCCCATCTCATGTCAACAAATCCTTGTTTTCCTCTGGCCCCACGTTTGTGTCCTTTTCCTGGTTCTCCAGAGCTGTCTGCTGGTTGTCTGCTCTCTGGACCTATTCCCAAGTTCTGACTTTAGTAGGTGTTCTTTCCTTGCCCGATTGGTCAATAGGCTCTCAGCTCTTGTCATCAGCTGCCACATATCCTAATGACCACAAGCTAACTCTTCAGAGCCTTTGGATAAAAAGCCCAGGAAAGGCTTTGGCACTTGCTTCCATTTGCCAGCAGCTGTATTTCCACCAGTGGGTCCCAAGGGCTATTTCACAAGTTTTGGCTGCCTAACACGAACACTTGGAGGGGACGGAGGCAATATTTGAGTTTGGGCCTCACTTCCACTATGAAAGCCAAAGGGGCTAGCTATCTTCTCACCTCTGGCAGCTGGGCCAGATACCAGACTTGGCCAGTCAGATGCTACCACCTGAGATGTAAAGAAAACGACAGCCCTAGCTTGTTTGGCTTAGTGGATAGTGTCACCTGTGGACTGAAGGATCCCAGGTTCAATTCTGATCAAGGGCACTGCCTGGGTTGTGGGCTCCATACCCAATAGGGAGCGTGCAGGAGGCAGCCAATCAATGATTCTCTCTCATCATTGATGTTTCTATCTCTCCCTCTGAAATCAGTAATATATTTTTAAAAAATATATTAGAAAAACCATTCACTGAGAAAAATTGGGGGAGGCTAGTGATTATCCTCTAGGAAGCCTGCATGTCTTGGTGAGCTATGATTATTCAGTGTTCACCTAAGCTCTACATTTCTTCTATGGTTTGCTGAAATGAAAGGTTTAAAAACTCCCTTTCTTGATCTCAAGTAATGGCTATACAGGGATGTTTATGTTAACAATTCAAGCTGCACACTTAAATACTAATAATTTACATACTTTTCTGCCTATCGGCACAGACACTCCCAACTGACAATGTTCAACTTATGATTCTTCAACTTAATAATGGTGCAGAGGTGATTCCCATTCAGTAGAAAGGCTAGCAAGATGTAGTGCAATACTCTCTTATGATGCTGGGCAGTGTCAGTGGGCCACAGCTCCAAGTCAGTCCCAAACTCCCAAGGGTAAACAACTAATACTCTACAGTGTACTGTGTTGCCAGGGTGTTTGGGGTAGTGTTTTTGCATTCCATCATGTCTACAAAATGCCCACCTGTATCTCCTGCTTTGGGTGAGAAGAGGAAGGTAATTACTCTTGAGATAAAAACTGATGGTAATTGCCCAACTGTAAAATATAGTGTTCTGAGCACATTTTAAAGCTAGGCTGATTTGGTAGCTAGGTTCACTGAAGGCATTTCTGACCTACGGTATTTTCAATTCATGAGTTAATCTGGATATAACACTACCTTAAGTCAAGGAGCAGCTGTTCTTCAGTAAGTTTATTTTTCTCTTCCCAAGCTGCTACTTGGGTGCACATTTGTCATAACACCACCTGGTGGTAAGTTAACAGCACTACTCAACACTACAGACTAATTTCCAATTTTAGTAGACTGAGATTTGCAGAAAACTTTATATATTTTTTACGATTGATTTTAGAGAAAGGGAGACATCAATGTAAGGAAGAAACACTGATCAGTTGCCTCCCACACACACCCTTACCCTCTGGTGCATGGGACAATGCACCACTGAGCCAAATCACCTTATCTAATATACAAAGACCTGTGACTGGCTGTGTCAATACTAGATGCTAAGATCCTAGGTGACCAGGATTGTCATAACCTGTTGCCAGCACCCAGACCTTTGGATGCTCACATTAGTTAACTAATTTCTCTTAAAAAAAAAAAAATCCCCTCACAACCGAATTACACAAATCCAGAAGTACAGAAATAAAGCATCTTAGCTCAATTCAAACAGTAACATTTCCAGTAAAACTGCAAAATGCCAATAACTTTACACACAAGAGATAAAGCCTTATAAAGGGGAATATCTCTATTAATGAGATGTGGTCTCAATTCCATCAATACTGACAAAAACAGTAAGATATTAGTCTAGACCAGTGATGGCGAACCTTTTGAGGTCGGCATGTCAGCATTTTGAAAAACCCTAACTCTGGTGCCGTGTCACATATAGAAATTTTTTGATATTTGCAACCATAGTAAAACAAAGATTTATATTTTTGATATTTATTTTATATATTTAAATGCCATTTAACAAAGAAAAATCAACCAAAACAATGAGTTCGCGTGTCACCTCTGACACGCGTGTCATAGGTTCACCATCACTGGTCTAGGCAGTCGATATAAACATCAAAGGTTCTTTTAAAAAGTGAGGGGAAGCCCAAAGATACATTTGTCAGCACTCCTAACGTAATTCACTCAAACATTAGGCCCTTACCACGTGCCAAGCAGTATAACCACAATGTGCAGTTGTCTGTACATGTGCATCTTATAGTCCAGTCGGAAAGACAACCAAATAATCAGAGTGCCCACTAGGTGGCCTGTGGAGCCAGGTTATCTCACAGCCAGGCCTCACCACCAGGACGGTGTGGCTACCAGACTTGGCCTTCCAGGCCCATGACAGTTGTCATCAGGAAGGAAAGTCCCCGCTATGTGATAAATCTAGTTATGAGTCTTGTAGAATTATCAAGTCTGTCCCTCATTAGTTTCACCTAAGTATAACAAGAGCACCAGTTACTTATAAATAAATAGCAATAGAAAACACTTCCAAATATGATAAAACAGGAGACAATTTTAAATATTCTTTTTATCTGTGCTTCAAGCTCTTCATCACTGGCACAAATTCCACTTACACTTTAAAGATGTTGAGAATTAAATTAAAAAGTTATGTGAAGCACAACACCCAGAGCTTAGCAAACCCAAAATATAATGATCAATATATTTATTTTCTATGTGCAATGTAGATCTCCTTATGCACTAGGAAAAAAATAGTCTTAAATATCCCTCTTCTAAACCTAACCCTAACAGATGAGTTAATCAAGGTGCTGTCAGACCTGTGTCACTACCCCCAACAGGTTCTCTCTCTGGTTAGCTCTGCTTGGGTCCTCCTGGCCCTTGTCTCACAAATACAGTAAAAACGAAGAGCATTTCAGTGAAAGCATAAGCATCATGAGCCAGGCAGCCCTAAACCAACCAAGTAATGCTCTGATGAGGTGACATGACCCTCAGTCTGAATACTGGATATACAGTCTAAGTCAGGCCATGCATCTTTTAAAAAGATTTTATTAAAGGTCTTTATAGAGCAACATCCAGACTCCAGATCCAGCTGCCAAGGAGACCCTAAAACCAAACAAAGCACAACAGTAAGAACAGAAATTTCATCTGAGTATCGGGTTCTTTCATTTACTAAATGGGTATATACTACCACTGAGGGTTTGCATAAAGACTAATAAACATAAAGAACTTTTAGGGGGGAAAAAAACCATAGGTGTTCTTTGTAAGGGGGTTGCTGAAGAATAGCTTAATACTAGCAAGAGTGCCTTGAAATTTTTGAGTAAAAAAGGACAATAAATAGAGGGAAATTCCTATTTCAAACATTGTAGCAGCAATCAGGAATTTAAGAGACCAAGTCCAAACACCCCTCCCAGAAGAATCCTGGGTTGAAATTAAAAGGGCCCCTGGCTTTAACCAGCATTCTTCCGTGTAAATTAAGCGCACTCCAATTATTATTCACCAAATGCTTACCACAGTGTGCAGAACAAGTAGTACTAGGGAGACAAAGGAACAGGGTCCCATTCCGCCGAAGGGGCTGCTAGAGACATACCTGTTATGCTGTGGGGACCGGCTGGGGCATGGCAGGCGGCTCTGGCTTTCCACCCTTCTGTTCCGAGATGGGGGTGGTGGGCAGTATCTCATCTTTGGGTTCCACAATGCTCACATGGTCAGGCAGGGGCTTCTTAGGGCCTATCTTACCACTTGGGTCCCAAGGAAGCATGATCTTCACTTTGATGCCCAGCACACCTAAAGGACAGTTAGGACCATGGTTAGGACCTACCTGTGGTATCACCGGCCCCCACAACACAATAGGACAGGGCAGAGGAAGAGAACAGTAAGTTCCTCAAGTATCCCTGGTTCTGGTCCCTTCTCAGACAAATGCCTCTAATCAACCAATGAATAGGACACGTTTGCAAAAGGAACCTATGCAGTGCCACAGAACATGGCACTGACAAGGACCAAGAGCAGGATGTGACCTTTCTGACTCGTCATCGTGTCATCACTGAAGGGTACACAGGTGGCTGAGACAAGGACAAACCAACCCTTGGATCTGACTGATCTCAACAATTCACTTCTTCCAATTCAGTGCAGCGAATCAGTAAGCCCAAGGAGTACTAACACGCTCTGCTACTCTGAAAATGAATTCTCTAAACACCGAGGTGTGCATGGAAAACCCATCTATTCACTAAGACCCTTTGCCCTAAGAGCTACCAACTGCTCACCTTGCCTGAGCAGCACATGGCGCACGGCAGTGTCAACATAGTAGTTAACAGGGTCCCCGCTGTGGATCATCAGACCATCAACAAACTTCATGGACTTAGCCCTCTGTCCTCGGAGTTTCCCAGACACCACAACCTCACAGCCTTTGGCCCCACTCTCCATGATGAACCGAAGCACACCATAGCAGGCCCTTTGGGAAAACAAGAGACAGATATCCATTTGTGTTATCACCAAAGATAGAACCACCCAATCCCACCCCATGTTTAAAAAACATATGACTTACTAGTCTTCCCTGTTGTCAATGTCCCTTTAAAGAAACAACCCTCCCCCCATGCCAGGTGAATTAAGTTGGCAATCTGGGGACCTGGGAGTGGTAAAGCTCAGTAACAAGTATTGGAAATAAATAAAAGAAACCCCAAGTGATTCTAATGTGCAACCAAAGTTGAGACCCACAAATAAGATTAAAAAAAAAAGGTTGAGGCCCACACTCAATCTCATGATCATCAAGTTGACACCCCGCCCCGTCACTCTGAAGCAAACCTTTCCAGTCCAGTCCATCTCTGCCAACTCAGGCAAGCCCTCAGTAAGAACCCAGAAGTACCCAATCACTAAGTTAACCCGCCTTATGGTTTACTGAAACATTCCTCAACCTCCAGAATTCATGTTCATTAGGCACCCTATCGGTTTAGGATCCTAGCTGCCTCGACTGTTAGCACACTGGAAAAGCGTATCTAGGTATATATAATTGATAATAAGCCTTAAAAAATATCATCCCCCCCCCCTTTATTCATTAGTTTACATCCTGGGAGAAAAATATCATGCCCTCCCCCACCTTATTCATTAGTTTACATTCTGGGAGATAATAATTGGAGCTAGCTGCCACTTCCAACAGGAAAGTAAAGAGCAAGACCCACCACCATGCCCCAGACCCTTTCGTATGATCTCATTGAATCCTCACAAAAGGTGGTGGGGGGGGAAAAATAAAATAAAGTAAAAAGGTGGTGGTACAATGATTCCCATTTAGAGACAGGAGGCCCAAGGGTCTGAGAAGTTCAGTAAGCTGCTCTGGTCTCAGAACTTCCAAGTCAAACTTCAATGCAAAAGTCACCTGGAAGGCTTGTTCAGACAGCCTAGCTGGGCTACACTCCCACTTGCCAAGTCAGTGGGTCTAGGTCAGGGGTGGGCAAACTTTTTGACTCGAAGGCCACAATGGGTTCTTAAACTGGACCGGAGGGCCGGAACAAAAGCATGGATGGAGTGTTTGTGTGAACTAATATAAATTCAAAGTAAACATCATTACATAAAAGGGTACGGTCTTTTTTTTTTTTTTTTTAGTTTTATTCATTTCAAGCGGGCCGTAGTTTGCCCACGGCTGGTCTAGGTGGAGACTGAGAATTTTTTCTAACACGTCCTCAGATGATGGCAGTGATGCTGGCCCAGGGACCAACTTTTGAGAATCACTTTTTATTGCCTGAGCAGCAATATAGATCCGGCATTCAAACCAGGTGGGCAGTCTTCTACACGTCCTTGCCTATAGCCTTTCCTACCCATGCCAACATCAACCTGCAGGCAGCGCAGCCCTTGTGTCCTTCCTCTGCTGGAAAACCTCCTGGGGCTCTGCTGCAGCCCATCACTCCTCACATTACTATCTCTGTACAGAGCTCGCTTCCATCTGCACTGTCTTATCTTCTAGTCTCCAGAAGAATAAACACATGATGGAACTAAGTGACTTCAACAGGAAGCCTAACCTTCCCTCTCTGAGTTCTATTTTTGTTTTACTCCCCAGGCATTGAGAACAGTTCTCCATTATAACACTGATCACTCCTTCAAAATTTTGCTTCTTGCCCAGCCAGCATGGCTCAGTGGTTGAACATCAACCTATGAACCAGAGGTCACGATTTGATTCCTGGTCAGAGCATGTGCCTAGATTTTGGACTGATCCCCGGTGAGTGGTGTGCAGGCCAATCAATGATTCTCTCTCATCACTGATGTTTCTATCTCTCTCTCCCTCTCTGAAATCAATTAAAAAATATATATAAAAAAACGACTTGCTTCTTTATTTTTCCTGCTACACTGCCAGTTCAACAAGGACATGGAGTCCAAGCCGGTTTGGCTCAGTGGATAGAGCGACGGCCTACAGACTGAAAGGTCCTAGGTTCAATCCTGGTCAAGGGTACATGCCTGGGTTTCGGGCTTGATCCCCAGCGGGGGAGGGGGAGGCATGCAGGAGGCAGCTGATCAATGATTCTCTCATCATTGATGTTTCTCTCTCCCTCTCCCTTCCTCTCTGAAATCAATAGAAATATATTTAAAAAAATACAAGGACATGGATTGGAAATATCCTGCCATGTAGAGTTCATTTGCTGAATTAACAAAAATGGCAAACACACCATACTCTGATCCACAAAAAAGGGGATACGTACTCACCTCCGCACGGCAAGGCCCCCTAGGAGTTTGTAACGCAGAGACTCTGCCTGGGCAATGGCACACAGACCTCTTGTGGCCACCTTTTCAGCATAAAGCTTGAAGAAACAAACAACATATATCACTATAGCACCCCTTAGTACTCCCCACACCTAGCACACACTCAGTGACATGAACTGAACCATTCCTCACTGCCCTCGCATCCCTAGCTCTTCCTACAGCCACACCAAGGAGACCCATGGGCACCCGATCCATCATGTGTATCATTACCACCCAAGGTGGATGTAAAATTCCCTAACCACCAGAACTGAGCAGAACAGGCCTGTAAAATTAAGCTTACTACTTACGAGATCTTCAACAAAATACCAACCCATTTTTAATATTCAATGATCAGGAATAAACAGTCTTCAGTGAGAAGGGGTTTTAGAAGTGCCATCCCAAAGAGCCATTTCCAGGCCCACAGTCACCCGGCCCTGGGCCAGATCACTCACCTCCACACTGCCCTCAGGGAAGCCGAACCTCTTCTGAACCACAGCAGTCAGTTCCCGGATGCGGCGGCCCTTCTCACCAAGAACATTCTGCGTCCTGGGAAAGCAAAAAGCGGCAGTTCACAGCTCTCACCAGGTTCCACGTGCAGCCTCCAATCTTGCATCTGCGTAGCAGTGAAGCCTCATTCATCAGACACAAGCAAGTAGAAAGTGTGGGTGACGGGAACTACTGGTTAGATTTAAAAAATGCAGTTCACAGAAACCAATTACTGCCCTCCCCAAGGCCAAATGTACTGGCCGTCCCCTTAAGCTTCCAGACCAAACCATCTCCGTCTATGCAACATAAACGACTTTTTACCTGGTGGCCAAAATGATAATCTCTGTCCTGTTTGGCGTAACGCGGACCTCAACTCCTGAGTAGCCATCTTCGGCCAGCTCCCGGGTGAGAAACTCGTTCAGCTCGGCTTTGAAGATGCCATCAGCCACAAACTAACCAAAAAAAAAGCCAGAATTCAAAGTTAGGGTGCAGGTTCACTTTTCCTCGCCAGGTCTTTCAGCCAATGCAACCCTCGTCCAAACTCAAACGGCCCATCGTCCTGCTCTGGTTCCGAAAGGGACGGAGCAAGCCCTTCTCAGACAAATGCCTCTCGGTCATCGTCTGGTGGCGGCTCTGACCCGGGGCCCCGACCACGGCGCCGCAGGACGCAGCTCGGGGCAGGGGCCCTGGACAGCAACACCCCAGTCAGACTCGTCATCGTCTCCTCATCGAAGGGCTCCGGGACCGGCGTTCGCACGTACACACGCCCAGCAACAGCGGCGCTCACAGGGCCCATTTAGGGCTCATCATTCCGCCCGGCAGGACGCAGCAGGCGAGGGACCAGCCGCCCCGCTGCAGGGACGGCGCGGACCGCAGAGGCGGGACCCCGGCCCCGCGCTCCCGCCTGGCCGGGGTGGCCGTCTCCCAGGGCGTGCAATTCACAAGAGCGTGTGGATGTCGTTCGAACGTGGACGTGGTGTCTACGAAAAACGACCAACTTCTCCAACAAATGGGCTTGAGGCCTTCCCGTGGGAAAGCGAAAAGGGACACGAAGGCGCGCTCTCCCGCGGCGCCCTCCCTCCGCTGGCCACGGCTTTCCCCGGAGTAATCAGCCGTCAGCAGCCCGCGCAGCTCAAGCATTTAGGGCCCGAAGGCGGCACCCAGACGCGACTAGGAAGAAGGCCAGACGCCCACCCCTTCCCAAAGCCACGCTGTTAAGATCTGCAGCGACCGGCTCGGCTCACACTTTCCAAACACCACGCGTTCACTCATCGTTATTTGTTGACCAAGAGATGCTCGCACGCGCCTTCTCCGGGGCAGGAGAGGAGCCCGGTGCTCATCTCTACTCTCCGCCCCGAACCGGCGGAAATCGGCTCCCTTTCCCCGCCACACCGCGCTCGCCTGGCTCGGGCCCCCGCACTCAATCCACCGCCATCCGCAGCCCGCGGAGATGCCTCGCGGCCCAAGCCACTTCCCCGAGCAGGGCACGGAGCCGCGGGTCCCGACACGGCATCCCGAGAAGGCCCTGACCCGCACGGCGCCGCAATCCCCAGGGCCCCGAGCCCAGGAGCTCACCTTCCTCTTCTTGGAAATCTGCACCGCCATCTTGCCGCCGTGCGTCGCCGAAAAGAAAGGAAGTAGCTCACGGGCGGAAGTGGGTATAAAGGGCGCGTAGTGACGACGAAGAACTGCGCGACGTTGACGCCTGTGGGCGCTCCTGGGAAATGTAGTTTTTCTGTTAAGGAAGGCGTTCGGAAAAAGAGACTAATAATAGAGACAGCTACAGAAGGAAACAGGAAGGGAAGCAGATGAATCAGAACCTGGGAATTGCAGGGGAGCTTACTGTAGTGTAAAAAGAACAACGTGAGGCGCAGAGATGAAAATGACAAGTGTAAACTCACAGAGCAACAGAGTTCAACAAGCGCAAAATCCTGGCCCCTACACTCCACACTGGAATGAAAATAGACTGAAAGTCTTTGGTGAAATTCATTTACAACCCCAGCTCTTTCAGACTGTTTGTCTTTCCTCCGTTCCAACTGATATCTAAAATTTATTAAGTATTCTAAAGGCTGTTGTATGTCCTGTATATTATTAACTAATTTACCCCTAGGCCTCACTTTCTTAAAGTCTGTTACAACTTGTATCAAGAAGTACTAAAGTAGTGGCTCATGGGTTCACAATTATTTTTCAATAAAAAATATTTCCCTCTGTATTTTACTATGAAAATTTCCAAGTGCACAGAAAAGTTGAATTTTGCAGTGCACACCCATATACGAATTACTTAAGTGCTGCCATGAACATTTTTGGTATATTTGATTTATCACATATCTATCCACCCCTCTATTCACCCACCAATGCACCTTTTGATACATTTCGAAGTAAGTTGTAGACATCAGTACACTTCACCCCTAAACATTTCAACAGTTTTATGTTAAATTTGGATAGTTTGCCTGAATTTAAAATCAGGAGATACTAAACTATTTTAGGTTACTCTTTAAAATACAGAAAGATCTAGCAACATATCAGATCTACATTTCCTTATAACTACGCTCTCCTTCCCTGTTAGATGGCAAAGGGCTTTCCCCTGTGCCACAGTCCCTGGCAGCTTCATTCACTTCTTGTCTGATCCTTGAAGGCATTTGTGCTTTTCTCCAGCACTAATACAATTTTTAGGCAAAGACCTGTCTTATAATCATGGAATTAATGGTGTTCTAGGGTGGGGGGAACTGAGCAGAGGGACAAGAGAAGATGAAAAGAAGTGGATGAACCAAAAGGATAGATAGGTTGTGGACCTGATCTGACTTGATGATGGACTGAGGTTGAAGGGGGAGAACTGAGAATGAGGCCCAGGTTTCTGACTCCAGTGGTGGATGCTTGGTGACAATCCTCACTGAGATGAGGAACCCAGAGACAGGTATTTTTCTTCATGTGTCATCTTCCTCTGCTCTTTACTCTCTTCTTCATCAAGCTCCATGGTCTGGTAACACACTGATGCCAGGCTGCTAAAATCTCAACCCTGATGACTCTGACTACCTGACTTTGCTATGCCCTCACTTGGGATATGGGAGAGAGTCTGGCTTTGTGCAGCAACCTTTTGCAGCAAGGATTCAGAATCTGGAGAAGGGATCCATGTGCAAATGGATATACTAGATAAGAAATATAAATTTAGGAAGTATTGGGGGGAGCCAGGCAGAGACCTACTCTCTGGTGGAGTGGGTCCCTGAATCTCTGGACCCATAGCTTTTTATTTACTAGAATACACATTTGCCCTTTAGCAAAGCAAACAGACATTTCAATGGTAAGGTTTGGTAAACAATAAAGGATTATCAGGTTAGGGCCATGGTCGGCAAACTGCAGCTCCTGAGCCACATGCGACTCTTTGGCCCCTTGAGTGTGGCTCTTCCTAAGCCTTAGGAGTACCCTAATTAAGTTAATAACAATGTACCTACCTATATAGTTTAAGTTTAAAAAATTTGGCTCTCAAAAGAAATTTCAATTGTTGTACTGTTGATATTTGGCTCTGTTGACTAATGAGTTTGCCGACTATTGGGTTAGGGAATTGCCTTCAGCCATTCAGCCAGCAGCAAGTAATATAATGCTGATTCTCAGCCCTTGCTGAATATCAAAGTCCATTAGCCTTCTGACGGACCTCTCAAATTTACATGTCAACTACTTTTTGGTCTTTGCCTCCAGCAGCTTTGCATACTGTAGTCAGAATATTTCCTCATTCAGTTATGCCCCTCGTTCTCCCACAGTGCTTACTATAATCTTTGTCAAATCAGAACCTCCTCCTCATTCTCAGCAGTCAACCTCCCTCCTAACTTATTACCCCCCGAATAGGTTGTACAGTCAAGAACTGCTTCTCACCTATCCTGTAGTGGTATGTTTCCTTGGCCAGCCTTCTCTTTTTCCCTCCCTGCTCAAGGAAGAGACCCTCTTCTTGCCCAAGGTAAGTCTCCCCTGTGTGTTTTAGTTTAAGTTTAGTTCTGTTCCTTTGAGAACTTGTTTTAGCAATCAAGCTCTACCTTTCAGGTGATATCCTCCTTCACTGGCTCTTCCTTCCCCATCCCTTGTGTTAAATATGTCCAGGGTTGTGACTCTCCCCGTTGCCCCTAGTTGTAGGACAAATGTTAAAAGATTTCTTTTTACTGCTTTTGTATTATTGCTTTAGGACTCACACTTCCAATATCCCTAATTACAATAAAAATAAGACCCAGAGTATGAAGGATGTGAGAAAACGAGCATCCTCACACTGTAGGTGGAATGCGAACTGGGCTTCCTTTTTGAGGGCAGCTTGATGGTGACCACCATAATTTAAGATATAGATTCCCTTTGGCCCAGCAAATGCATTCCTTTTTATCTACTCCAGAAAAACACCTGCACAAATATACATAGAGTTAGTTGAATGCAAGAATGCGTGTTATAGCACTATTAGGAATAGTGAAAAAATAAATTAAGAATAGCTCCACAGCCCCTCAGTAGAGAAGTGGTTATGGAATATTATGTAGTGATTAAAAAGAATGATGTGACTGTATGTACACACATGAAAAGAGCATCAAGAAATATCACTATGGCCCAACTGGCATGGCTCAGTGGTTGAGCATTGACCTATGAACCAGGAGTCATGGTTCAATTTCTGGTCAGGGTACATGCCTGGCTTGCAGGCTTGATTCCCCAGTGGAGGGCATGCAAGAGGCAGCCAATCAATGATTCTCTCTCATCACTGATGTTTCTATCTCTCTCTCCTCCTTTTCTCTTTGAAATCAATAAAAATATATTTTAAAAAATAAAGAAAGAAATATCACTATGTGACAAAACCTAGTTGCAGAACAATATAAACTGTATAATATTGATGTACAATAAATAAAACATTATGCATGTAAATGCACATAAGGATAAATAGCCAATGGACATATAACCAATCTTACTTCTGGGAATGGAGTAGTTTGGTGGGGAGGTTAAGGGGCAATCGATTTTATTGCTCAACTGTTTAAAAAAATATATTTTTATTGATTTTTAACAGAGAAGAAGGGAAAGGGATAGAGAGTTAGAAACACCTATGAGGGAGAAACACCAATCAGCTGCCTCCTGCACGCCCCCTACTGGGGATCCAGCCGCAACTAAGATACATGCCCTTGACCAGAAATGAACTTTGGACTCTTGGGGGGTGGGGTCCGACATTCTATCCACTGAGCCAAACCCATCAGGGCTGAACTTTTCTTTTTTTAGAATAAAAATATATTCATACATTCCTTGTAAAATTGAAAATGAATTAAAAAATGCAAGGACCTCATTTCTGATTATGTGGCCACTTGTGAAACAATGTGAATTGGCTCAGCCTCTAACACCAAATCCCATAATCCTTGCTTTTGAAAGCTCAGGATAAAGAAAAGCTTATTCTCTTAATCAGACTATAAATCTCTGTCTGATACAGTACCCACTGGCCTCACAGGGCTACGAAGTACCTGAAAGGTTGCTGCTCTAAGGGGAAAATTGTTCTATGTGTAAACAAACCAGATTTCAATGTGTGAAGAAGGAATATCTCAATAATTTTTGTATTGATTACATGTTAAAACAATAGAATTTTATTTATTTTTAAAAATATATTTTTATTTATATTTTTACAGAGAGGAAGAGAGAGGGATAGAGACTTAGAAATATCAATGAGAGAGAAACATCGATCAGCTGCCTCCTGCACACCCCCCACTGGGGATGTGCCTGCAACCAAGGTACAAGCCTTTGACCAGATCGAATCTGGGACCCTTCAATGTTGGGGTCCAGCCCCAGCAGGTCCAGGGATTCCCATAGGTGTGGATGGAGTCGGTGAAGAAGGAATTTTTTTTTTTTTTTTTTTTTACCATTTACGCAGATTTGCTTTATTCAGATCTATTCCTGTTCATTTTATCCATGAATCCTTACAGGTTCAGTTCAACCGCAAGAAGCAAACTGCTGGACAAGCGTCATGTTTCCCTCATGAAGACTGTTTTGTCTTGGAAGGTGTTCCTCTTCCTTCAGCTTCTAGCGATGACGATACTCGCGCTCTCGGTCTCGGTCCCGATCTCGGTCACGGTGTCTCTCTCTTCCCCTGCTTCTCTCTCTATAATAATCATCATGACGATCTCTACTGCGGGATTTATGGCGCCGACGCTTTTCTCGTGATCTACTACGGTCCCTCTCTCTTGATCGTTCACGTCTTGATCCAGAACCATAAGACTTGGATTCAATTCCATGAAGGCAAAATTGCAAAGAGCTAATAAGAACTTTGCAACGATCATCAGCAGATACTTTGGATTGTTTAATTAAAGAAATTGCAGTTACCAATGCCTCAATTGCACTCCCATAATCACCAGCGCTGGCATCAGACACGGCTCTTGAAATAGCACTGCTTGAGATTGCCCTATTTCTATTCATGATCTCTTCAAACTCAGCTTCACTCAGTGGAGTTCTTGCTGTATCCATTTCCCTTCCAGGAGGCCCATAGTCACCCCTATCATATGGCAGAACCTGACCAGGTGGAGGTGGACCTGGTGGGCCTGGAGGACCGAAGGGTGGACGTGGTGGAGTCTGCCCAGCTGGGAAAGGTGGGGGTAGCTCTCCTGGCCAAGGAAATCTGTCCCCACTGGGAACATCCCCTGGAAAACGGCCCCGTCCTCTACCACCTTGTGGAAATGCTGCACGTGAACTGCCTCCTGGAGGACCAGCTTTACCCTCCCCAGACATTTGTCCTGATTGTGTAGTTTTCCTGGTCCGCATGCCAAATTGACTCAGGAACTGTTGATTGCTTGGAGTTACAACAGGATTCTGACCATGAAGTTCTCTTTTAGGCAACAGATCCATTAACGTTTTTGAGGATGCTTCAGATCCAACACCAACAAGGGCAAACCCCTTTGATTGGCCATTTGCTCGGTTTTCCAAAAACTTTATCTCCAAAATATCATTTACTCCCAAAGGATGCACTGCTTCAGTTAAGTCTTCGTCTGTTGTCCACCGTGTTAGATTTCCAATATATAATGCAATTCTCTTTCCCATATATGTATAGACAACATTTGGTGCTGCTCCTTTACCCACATCATCACCAACAGCTGGTGGGAGAGTATCCATGTAATCCTGGTCTTCTGGGGCATCTCCATTATTTGCGGATGGAGAGATGACATCATCATACAAATCTATGTGATCATGCCCACCATATTCAGCTTCCTGGTTGAACTCTTCACCTATATCCTCGTAAATGTCTATGTGGTCCACACCGTCTGCCATCTTCCCTCGGCCTCGGCCACCGCCGCCACGGCCGCCTCCTGCAGGTCTAGAGGTTCCCAAGGGTGTGGACGGAGTTGGTGAAGAAGGGAGGACACTGCAACAGCGTTCAGTTGATCAGCAGCCTAGCCAGGTTCTCTAGCCAGGATCTCCAGCCAAGTTCTGTGGCCAGGTTCTCTCGCTAGGTTCTCCAGCCAGATTCTGTTCTTATGTCTCCTGTTACATCTGTATTTATACCAGTTGATTTTAATCCTATCCATTCTATTCCAAAGTTTAGGGCGTTTCTTATCTCCATTCCAGGGAGTAAAGATTATGTAGCTTAAGCGTGATTGTTCGTAGTTAAAGTGGTTAACTACCCGCCTGGCACTTAGTTAAGGGGTTTTACTGATAAAAATCCCCACCTGGGGAACCAACCTTTCTTGGAGAGGTGCCCTTGGTTAAAACACATAGCACTAAGGCAGCCGTGGGCAAACTACGGCCTGCAGGCCAGATCTGGCCCGTTTGAAATGAATAAAACTAAAAAATAAAAAAGACCGTACTCTTTTATGTAATGATGTTTACTTTGAATTTATATTAGTTCACACAAACACTCCATCCATCCTTTTGTTCTGGCCCTCCGGTCCAGTTTAAGAACCCATTGTGGCCCTCGAGTCAAAAAGTTTGCCCACCCCTGCACTAAGGGGAGCAAACATATTAAGAACAGTATGCCTTGCCCTAACCGGTTTGGCTCAGTGGATAGAGCGTCAGCCTGCGGACTGAAAGGTCCCAGGTTTGATTCCAGTCAAGGGCATATACTTTGGTTGCGAGCACATCCCCAACAGGGGGTGTGCAGGAGGCAGCTGATTGATGTTTCTCTCTCATCTATGTTTCTAACTCTCTATCCCTCACCCTTCTTCTGTGTAAAATATCAATAAAATATATATTTAAAAAAAAATAACAGTATGCCAGATATGCCAGGTCCCTTGAAACATAAGCTGTGCAGATGTTTCTTCCCTGCAGCGACTGTGTCAAGCAGGAAGGGTGGACCGGCTTCCAGCACTTCAGTCCGAAGGCCGATGTTCTATCTACTGAGCCAAACCAGTTAGGGCAAAACAATAGCATTTTAGATATACAATGAGTTAAAATATGCTATTAAGTTCACCTGATTCTTTTTCTTGTATTGTTTTTCTTTTTGTTAATCCTCACCCGAGTATATTTTTCCATTGATTTCTATGGAGAGTGGAAGAGAGAGGGAAAGACAGAATGAATGGGCTGAACACTTTAGGAAGAAAACCCCTCCCCATAATCTAAAATTAAAAAATATAAAATATATTCAAATGATTCAAAAAATAAAATACATGAATAAGAAATATTGAAAAGGATAAAGAAGCAAGTAAATTTATTGGGCCACATGTTCCCAGTTCTCTCCTTAGGCAGCAAGAAGCCCTGTGATGAATGCATGTGCACCTGCAATGTCACACAAAGGAGGTCACCACAAAAGGAGTGCCATGGAGGGTGCTGGTGCTGCACATGGAGGGTGCTGGTGCCGCACCAGGAGGGTGCCGACGGAGCAGACAGCTTGGCCAGAGGTGGGGCAGTGCGGGAATGTGGAGCCAGCTCAGTCTGTCTCACATCCTAGTGCTGCCACTGACAAGTTTTGTGATCTCAAGCAAGTCACTTAACCTTCTGAGCCTCAGGTTCTTCATCTGGGAAGTGGAGAAATTATTAACCAAAAAGAGGTGTTAGAATAAATCATAAATTCCTAACTGGGCAAGTCATGGTGGGTCGGCACACCCAGGCCTATAACTTCTTCAGGGAAAGGTTTTACGTCAGCCCTGACCTTGTTCTAGTGCAGTGATGGCGAACATTTTGAGCTCGGCGTGTCAGCATTTTGAAAAACCCTAACTTAACTCTGGTGCCATGTCACATATAGAAATTTTTTGATATTTGCAACCATAGTAAAACAAAGACTTATATTTTTGATATTTATTTTATATATTTAAATGCCATTTAACAAAGAAAAATCAACCAAAAAAATGAGTTCGCGTGTCACCTCTGACACGCATGTCATAGGTTTGCCATCACTGTTCTAGTGCATCAAGGTTAACACATCATTGAAATGCCAGAAATAATACCCCTGGAAGGCACCACCTACAGGGGAGTACGTTAACTTGTTAACTGCCCTGTTATCCAATCCTGTCTTGCTTTCCCCACCTTCATGTGATCTTCCTTAAATTTCCTCCTTCATTCCAAATGCATAAAAGGAACTGCAAACTTATTTTCTGGGGCATTTTAGATCCAGCTCCTTGGCAATTGTCAATTTTGGCTTAAATAAACTCTTATAAAAATTCTCTCCAGGTTTGGATATTTCTTATGTGCTGGAAGCCGGTCCAACCTTGCTGCTTGACACAGTCGCTGCAGGGAAGAAACATCTGCACAGCTTATGTTTCAAGGGACCTGGCATATCTGGCATACTGTTATTTTTTTTTAAATATATATTTTATTGATATTTTACACAGAAGAAGGGTGAGGGATAGAGAGTTAGAAACATAGATGAGAGAGAAACATCAATCAGCTGCCTCCTGCACACCCCCTGTTGGGGATGTGCTCGCAACCAAAGTATATGCCCTTGACTGGAATCAAACCTGGGACCTTTCAGTCCGCAGGCTGACGCTCTATCCACTGAGCCAAACCGGTTAGGGCAAGGCATACTGTTCTTAATATGTTTGCTCCCCTTAGTGCAGGGGTGGGCAAACTTTTTGACTCGAGGGCCACAATGGGTTCTTAAACTGGACCGGAGGGCCAGAACAAAAGGATGGATGGAGTGTTTGTGTGAACTAATATAAATTCAAAGTAAACATCATTACATAAAAGAGTACGGTCTTTTTTATTTTTTAGTTTTATTCATTTCAAACGGGCCAGATCTGGCCTGCAGGCCGTAGTTTTCCCACGGCTGCCTTAGTGCTATGTGTTTTAACCAAGGGCACCTCTCCAAGAAAGGTTGGTTCCCCGGGTGGGGATTTTTATCAGTAAAACCCCTTAACTAAGTGCCAGGCGGGTAGTTAACCACTTTAACTACGAACAATCACGCTTAAGCTACATAATCTTTACTCCCTGGAATGGAGATAAGAAACGCCCTAAACTTTGGAATAGAATGGATAGGATTAAAATCAACTGGTATAAATACAGATGTAACAGGAGACATAAGAACAGAATCTGGCTGGAGAACCTAGCGAGAGAACCTGGCCACAGAACTTGGCTGGAGATCCTGGCTAGAGAACCTGGCTAGGCTGCTGATCAACTGAACGCTGTTGCAGTGTCCTCCCTTCTTCACCAACTCCGTCCACACCCTTGGGAACCTCTAGACCTGCAGGAGGCGGCCGTGGCGGCGGTGGCCGAGGCCGAGGGAAGATGGCAGACGGTGTGGACCACATAGACATTTACGAGGATATAGGTGAAGAGTTCAACCAGGAAGCTGAATATGGTGGGCATGATCACATAGATTTGTATGATGATGTCATCTCTCCATCCGCAAATAATGGAGATGCCCCAGAAGACCAGGATTACATGGATACTCTCCCACCAGCTGTTGGTGATGATGTGGGTAAAGGAGCAGCACCAAATGTTGTCTATACATATATGGGAAAGAGAATTGCATTATATATTGGAAATCTAACACGGTGGACAACAGACGAAGACTTAACTGAAGCAGTGCATCCTTTGGGAGTAAATGATATTTTGGAGATAAAGTTTTTGGAAAACCGAGCAAATGGCCAATCAAAGGGGTTTGCCCTTGTTGGTGTTGGATCTGAAGCATCCTCAAAAACGTTAATGGATCTGTTGCCTAAAAGAGAACTTCATGGTCAGAATCCTGTTGTAACTCCAAGCAATCAACAGTTACTGAGTCAATTTGGCATGCGGACCAGGAAAACTACACAATCAGGACAAATGTCTGGGGAGGGTAAAGCTGGTCCTCCAGGAGGCAGTTCACGTGCAGCATTTCCACAAGGTGGTAGAGGACGGGGCCGTTTTCCAGGGGCTGTTCCCAGTGGGGACAGATTTCCTTGGCCAGGAGAGCCACCCCCACCTTTTCCAGCTGGACAGACTCCACCACGTCCACCCTTCGGTCCTCCAGGCCCACCAGGTCCACCTCCACCTGGTCAGGTTCTGCCATATGATAGGGTTGACTATGGGCCCCCTGAAAGGGAAATGGATACAGCAAGAACTCCACTGAGTGAAGCTGAGTTTGAAGAGATCATGAATAGAAATAGGGCAATCTCAAGCAGTGCTATTTCAAGAGCCGTGTCTGATGCCAGCGCTGGTGATTATGGGAGTGCAATTGAGGCATTGGTAACTGCAATTTCTTTAATTAAACAATCCAAAGTATCTGCTGATGATCGTTGCAAAGTTCTTATTAGCTCTTTGCAATTTTGCCTTCATGGAATTGAATCCAAGTCTTATGGTTCTGGATCAAGACGTGAACGATCAAGAGAGAGGGACCGTAGTAGATCACGAGAAAAGCGTCGGCGCCATAAATCCCGCAGTAGAGATCGTCATGATGATTATTATACGGAGAGAAGCAGGGGAAGAGAGAGACACCGTGACCGAGATCGGGACCGAGACCGAGAGCTCGAGTATCGTCATCGCTAGAAGCTGAAGGAAGAGGAACACCTTCCAAGACAAAACAGTCTTCATGAGGGAAACATGACGCTTGTCCAGCAGTTTGCTTCTTGCGGTTGAACTGAACCTGTAAGGATTCATGGATAAAATGAACAGGAATAGATCTGAATAAAGCAAATCTGCGTAAATGGTAAAAAAAAAAAAAAAATTCCTTCTTCACCGACTCTGTCCACACCTATGGGAACTTCTGGGGCAGGACCCCAACACTTATGTTGACAGCCTCATAGGATTTCTATGATTGAATTAAATGTTATCTTTAAAGCCCGCAGCTCAGGGAAAGTATTAGTAAAATGGGACAGATTATCATCACTCCTAGTGCAAATTAACAACTTGGCATTTAGGTT